TTTTCCCACCTGTGTATCAATGAGCAACCCACCAGACCCTTAGCAAAACAGAATCATAATTCCTACTAACTCAGAGCAGAAGAATCACTCAAGGTGACTCCAGACAGACTTGTGTTTTTACTTCTCTGCATGTACAACCAAGAGAATAGGTTAGAGTAAGCAGAAAAGAATAATGAAGTTTTTACACTTTCATTCTCCCCTCAAGGGGGATCAGAGAAGGGAAGTAATAAGTAAAAATTTATATGCCTGGATTATAAGATGGCTACTTTTACTAATCCTGGTGTTAGTGATTATTTCAGCTCCGCCTTCCAAAGACTTAGGAAGGCATACTGCAATAGAGATAAAATGCAAAGGAAGAAAAAAAGAAAGGAAGGAAGAAGGAAAGAAAGACAGTTTAAATTTAAGCCCTTCAAGCAATGCACGAGTTTCATGAAATTATGAAATGTACTCAACTACCTAGAAACTCATCACAGACTAAAGCAATTTGGTAAGAAGACTTCCTGTATAAGGACTTTAAGGCTCTAAGAGCTTTTTCTTTTTTTTTAACCTCACATAAGAAGAGTAAAAAGATAGTGTCAAAACCTGTAACTGGGAAACTTAGATGGAAAATTAATAAAAATCCACTGAATAAAACCAAACCAGGGACAAGTGATAAGGCAGAACAATTGACAGGACACTGGGAAACAAAATAGAAAATCTAGTTCCTCTCCTAGTACAACTCTGCATAACATTTTCTTTGATCCTGCTTCCCTACCTATAAAACACACTTGTGCTTGGACTAGACTAAATGGTATAAACTTTACGCCAGTTCCAATGCTTTTTTGATAGCGTGACTTAACAAATACACAGTATCTTGATAATTACCTTTCTTTATAACACAGAGTGACACAAGTATACAGAGAATCAGCTTCATCAGCTCTGAGCACACATTCACAGTAGTAGGGAGATAGTCATACTTGTTCTCTGAAATGTAACAGGAAAATTCAAACTAGCAAGTTTATTTTGCATGTTTTTACATGTAATTAATAATTTCTAAATTTAAAAATCAAACTTAAGACTCATTATATTAAACGTCCTCTGGCTGGCACAGCTTTTCTCAATCTGAGTAAATATGGTGGGAGGCTAAAAACAAGGACAAAGGAAGCTCCATGGGAGAGAGGCAGAGACTGACTTTGAAACAGGTAACTACCATTCAGCATCTGACTCATCAAAAGTTATGAATTTATCAGATGAATTAGTACTCAGCTTATGATTCATCAAACCTGACTTGTTTGTCTTACAAAAATCAAGGTATACCTTGCCTAGGGCACTTCTTTACCTCAGAATTTTCCAAACTGGTTCATATCATAGTGTACACAGGAACAATGTTTGGTTCCCCTGCTCCTGGCATAAATGGTAAACTGGGGTAGAAAAAAGCTATCTGGCAAAGGACTGCTACTTTTAGGACTGAGAGGAAGTAACTGTGGGTCACCCACACCCATTAATGAATTATATAATACAGCCTAGGTATTAGGTCAACTGAATTAAGAATGAGGCACACCTTGGTCTTAGTTATTACCTGTCTTTTCTAAATGCTTATCAACAGCTTGCTTTATCAAAGTGACAAGGACAAATAGAAACTTTATTAACTACTACTTTGCAAACATTTGGTTGCTTCTCTTAGTCATATTAAAACTTGGCAAACACTGGGGTTGGGTGGCTGCCAACTTAACCATCTTTCTCCAGGATACTTTCTTCCTCTTTTCTGAAGATTCCCTTAACAGTCAACATATGCCAAACTGACTACTTCTCTGATTCTAGGCACAATCTATCAAACCATTTGACAAACTGTATTACAATTATTTATTGTGCTTATGTCATATTCTTAGAATGGAAATGTCATGACAAAAAGACCGGTTTTGGTGACTTTCTTATACCTGACATTTAATAAATATTCACAAGTATTTGCTTATTCAACTATGCTCACCACTCAAAGTCTAGTTCAACTATCTCCTCCCTTTTCCCAGTACTAAGGTTGGCTTAAATCACACTGCTACCCTCAAAGATGTTTTTCATAATCTTTATCGTGACATACACACCAATCACCCAAAATGTGACTTAAGGAAATGGGTAGGGACTGGGCCTCTGGTCACACTCCTGAGGAATTATCTAGATTACATTATCTTCTGAGCGTGCCCATGAGGGATTATGTAGATCAGATTAATTGAGGTGGCAAGACTGACTTTAACTGTGGGCAACAGCATTTTGTGGGCTGAGGTCTCAGACCAAATCAGGTGAAAGTGAGTTGAGTGTGACCTTTTTTTTTTTTTAATTTTTAAATATTTTTCCTTTATATTATGTGAATAGGTGTTTTGTCTGCATGCATGTTCATCTGGACACCACGGAGGCAGTAGAAGGTTTCATATGTCACGCTAAATTGCTGGGGCTAACGTTTCTAGACTGGGAGAATAAGAGTTTATTTGAAGGACTATAGACAGAAGAATATAGTGGGAGAAGTATAGTTCGGAGAGTAGTGATATTTGGGTTGGGGGAGCCCATTTCAACTCTCGGGTCTGCAGGTAGTCAGTTCTGAGTTGCCATGTAGATACTGGGAGTGGAACCTACATCCGCTTAAAAGAACAGCCAGTGCTCTTTACTGCTGAGCCAGAATCTCTTTAGCCCAAAGCATATTTTATCTCTTTTCGCTCGATGCCTGTGGATGCCATGTAACTGCTACAAGCTTCTGCTGCCATGATCTCCCTGGCATGATGAACTGTACTCTCCAACAGGAAGCCAAAATAAACCTTCCCTTCCTTAACCTGCTTTGCTCAAGTATTTTTGTCAGAGTTACGAGGAAAGAAAGTGAAAAGAAAGCTATATTAAAACTTAGCCTAGGGCCTGAAAGATAAATATTATCTGAAGTTAAAATTTACATTCACATGTAGGCTCTTCAAGTAGACCACTAAAAGTCATGATGTCATGATTTTACAGCTGTCAATAGTTAAGAAACAACAAATACAGTTTTGTGGAATTAAATATTTGCATAAACTCTTACATTAAATAATAGATTCATTGAATGTATATGTACCGAGCTTTTAATTTTTACTATCCCATTGACAAAATAATTATACTGACTCACAGATACCAAGAAATTAAACAAATATATTGTATTTCCAAATAAGCTATAATTGTACATTTTGCTAGAGATCCAGAAATACTTGTTGGGTGAAATAATAATCAGATGTTATGATACACTGTGTTTTATTTTGCGCTTGAAAGATCCAAATTTCATTCACAAGGACACTTTGTTCAAGTGCTAAGGAACACGAGGCCAAAGTATAAACATGAAACACACTTTATCGTTCACAAAGCATAGTACTTTAAAAGGTATTATGTATAATTTATTCCTAAGGACACCACGGACAAGTGATTAAAAGTACCTCATGAACATCCACATCTTAACTTACCTTCATTGGCAGAATATTTTACCAGCAAGATGCGACTTGAACTTAAAGCAATGAATATAACACCTAGCAGGAATGTGTACAGCACTGGTGGGCCTAACCCCGGACGCCTGAAGCATTTTCTTTCCATTCCACTGGTTTTTAATTTTCTCAAAAAGAACACTTTCATGAGCAACCCTGTTGGCAGACCTAAGGATTAAACACAATGCAAACACTATAGACGGTGCCTAACAGAAAAGGATGTCTGGCCACGACTAAATCAGAACCAAGGAAGCTGAGGGGAACCGAGGAAACTCAAAGGAAACGGTCGATAATGACAACATCTTATCAGAGGGGGTGTCCTCGAGACAGATAGGGGGTGTCCGGATTGGAAATAAGTTAGGAAGTGAGTAACTGACAGTTTGGGGCTGCAGGAAAGTAGTTTATTTGTAATAACTGTGCTCCAGAAGGAAAGAATTTTGGAATCGCTTTTGGGGGGTGGGGTGGGGTGGGGTGGGGTTTCCTCACGGTAAACCAGCAGCTCTTCCTTCAGCGGAGAAAAAGAGCGTCCTGGGGATGGATTCTTTCACAGTAACGATCACAGTGCAAAGAGCTGAAACACGGCTACGGACTTGTTCTGAACCAGGACAGGGACGGAGGGCGAAGCTCAGGTCCGTGAGCCTAAGTGGCCAGGCTTTGGGGGACAGCTGGACACGAAAACTCCAGGCAGGGTCAATACTTGCCCGAAGGACACCAGTAGGAGGGACACATGGGAGCCATGGAGGACCGCCGACCAAAGCCCCAGCTAGGGACCGGCAGCCGGGCGCAAGCGAACAGAAAGCCAATGGGTCAGCAGCACACCCACCACCACGGCCAGGCTTCCCTCGCTGCCAGGGCAACCCTCCCACACATGCGCAATAGGACTCGCAGGCGGCGCCCCGGCCCCTCGCCCGCTCCAGCAAATGCCGCCCCCGGCCCGCGGGGCGCGGTTACCTCAGTGGCTCAGGGAAGGTTCTAGCGGAAGAACGGACATCATAGAGCTGAGATAGTGACTGCCTCGCCCCGTCGCAGCAGCAGGCGGCTTCCGGGGCCCATTGGTGGGGCTGAACTATGTATGAGCCGGGCACCAAGGCGAGAAAACAAAACAAAAGCAAAAAACAAAAACAAAAACAAAAACAACCCTACTCCCGCCGGCCTCCAGGGCTGGCGCCCAAGCGGAGCCCCTGCCGGCAGGGGCGAGCGGCCTTGGCGCCCATTGCGCACGCGCGCTCACTGGGGCGCTTCCGGGGGGCGGGCCGGAGTGAGGAGCAGCCGGTGGGCCCCGCCCCCTCTCCTCCCCCCCCCCCC